AATCTCCTCTTGATGCTGAGAAAGTATAGCTTCTTGCTCCAAGAGAACACCCTGAAGTCATGATGCTTCATCTTCCAACTATTCTTGTTCTCACGCCAACGTTTTTAGACACACCTGGATAGAAGCCAAAGAAGTCTCTGTGACTTGATAACCTTCCGAGACAACTTGCTGTGAAGACCAAACCTGGGCAATTGATAAGTCTATTGCTGCAAGTTGCTGAGCTCTAACCTCTGGATTCAACTTCTTTGAGGAAACAACATGCAAAGAAGAATACTCAGTTGAGGTAGCCATAAGCTTGGCAATCTTGATTCTCAATAGTGAGGAATCAACATTAAGGTTGTTAATCGTAAAAACAAGCTTCGACAAGTCTTCCTTAAGCAATGCAAGGTCCTCCAATGGGCACTTTGAAATCCTCTTCTCAATATGGCTCTTGATATCTACAGCCGCGTAAAAGTTGATGTGATGGATGAGCTGCTCAATGCCATTAAGGTTCAGCCCTCTAAGAGAGATCTTAAAACTAGCTAGCATAGGTATTGAACACATGACAAGCTCTGGCATGCCTGCATCTACATTCGGCAACCTTGGGTTACTTGGCAGATTTAGAATAAGCTCTGCACTAAGTGAATCTTTAATCTCTTTGTCTATAGGTAAATTGCCTCCAAAGAGCATATCTATAAAGGAATAAATGCCCATGTTCGCCAAATCAAAAGAACAAGAGAGCCCAGCCTAAAAAAGGCAAAGAAAGATGTTAGAAACAAAAGCTAAACCAATGAAAGCAGAAGAAATTGCAAGAAAGAAGGAAATACATACATCTTTCTCAAGTGACGCACAACCATCAAATTGAGGAAGCCTAAACACTTTCTTCTTCTTATGACGAAAATTGACATCAATGTCATCCTGAGGACCTTCAAGCGGTCGCTTGTTCAAAATTTGTTAACACTGCCGCAGAACAAGCTCATATTTGTGCGAGTCAACTTCATCATCCGCTTCTTTAGAAGCATCCGAACGCTAAGAAGACAAACACATGCATGGGTGCAAGACTCCCAATGCATATACATGGCTTGCAAGGATTCCGACTGTGTGTTTTCCTTTAACTTGCCTGGCACATGTTGGACAAAGGCAAACTGCCTACTGAAACGGTGAGGACTATATGGCTGAACAATACATCGGTCTCCTTACCACAAAGAAACATACCTTGAGCAAAGACTTGCAAGATAAGACAAGTTTGAGAAACTAAGGTGCGAATCATCTATGAGGCCTCGCTGCGTTGAGCCAACCCTTGCTAGATGGTTCATTCTCAAACCTTCACAGCTTCTAAACAATGCCTGGGACTGCAAATCATCAAGGTTCTTTGCAGAAAGCACACAAGAATACTTTATCATTAAAGGCCCTAGCTTGGCCGAAGTTGATGAAGAAAGGCCCAACTTGTCTAAAGTCGACAAAGAAAAATGAGTGCCATAGTACTCACCCAACCAACCATACATATAGTGGTGGAGAAATATTGCAGCATGATCTTCGATGCTCGTCAAGTTCAAAACAACACTCAAGCCATCATAAATATTAGCTAAAACCAGAATAGCAAGGTTGATAGATTCACCTACAGCCATCTTTCTAGCCACTTTGAAGACTCTAGGAATGATAAAGTTGACATCATCTTTGGGGAAAGCAAACTTACAAAGCCAAAAAGCTAAAAAAATGGCTAGGTAAGGTTCTTCCACGTGCTCTGACGCTACGCCAAGATCCACCTGACGGGTCTGAGTTTCCCTTTGGCTTAGTGGTCCTATTGCGGCCATTTTTCTTCGAAGGCTTCTTGTACTTCATGGCATCCCAGTACCAAAATCGAATCTATGAAGAAATGTTCATGCTTGACTTATCCTGAGCCTTCTAGGAAAGCTTATGATACGCCCAAAACAAATAGCGGCAACTTGCAGACAATCCACGACTATTGCGATGAGAAAATTCTTCTACGCTAGGAACAACCTTATCGTAAAACTTATCCTGGATCGGCAAGCCTCCTATCTTGTGGAGATCCCAAAGTGAAATTGACATCTCCCCTTGTGACGTGTAAAGTGTGTTGGTCCCTAAACACCAATGCTCAAAGAACGGACGAAGGACAAAAGGATGACGATCATAACTAAACAAAGATGCGTATACGGTGTGATAAAGGCCCACGTTAGTAAACACATCTTTGGATCGGTTAAACACATCTTCAAGCCACTCCTAATAAAACTTAACAAAGACGGATTCTCTAATAGTTGACAAGGTGTTATTACAAGTCATAGCTTTGCAACAGATGTGATAGCCAAGAAGCTCAAACGAAGCCGATGGATTGTCACCAACATGGTATGAAGGATTCAAGATAAGAATCCTCGATGTACACGCCTTCTTCTTCATATTTGGTTAGCCAAAATTTGTCACCTCCCAAGATACTTTAGAAGACCACGACTTGATACGCATTGATTTGTCTTTCGTAGGAAGAACATGCTCCTTAGGGCCAGTAAATGGCACACAAAGCTTCAACGTCATTCCCTTATCTTGTGAATCGCCTTCCTTCGCAAGAATGGTAATGGTATTGCTCTTAAAGCACTTGAAAAATACCACGGCTACAACAAAATAAACAAGGTAACATAAGCCTAAGAGTGGGGTGGCAAGAAGAAAAAAAAAATTGCTTCACTAAACCAAAAGACATGCGAGACAAAACTTATAAGCGTTCAAGGATGACGATGACAAAGTCACAACGATGAAAATAAATCAGCCACAAAGCTTGAGCAACATAGCAAAGAAGGCAGCTACAACAAGTAAGCACATGTCTACAACATGCCTACATGTAGACATGTAAATTTCGTTGCATACAAATGATGCATCACAAAGCTCCATGTGGCACATGACTCATCACAAATGGACAAGTCATCAAAGAAATGTGCCACAAATAAGCAAAGGAAACTCAAAAGCATTCCTAAAATTCGGCAAAAGGGAAGAAATCTCCTTAAAATATGCAAGGGGCCTAAATTGCTTCCAAAACCTAAAAGAAAGCTAAAGTATCTTCACAAAACAAGCAAGAATTGAAGATTGCTCACAAAATAGGCAACAAGCCCTATAGATTTCTGCCAAGCAAGGGAAAGTGGCTGAAAACAAGAACAAATCAAAGCCAAATCCATCCAAAGGCAAGCTTTAAGAAGTCTATAAATACAAGGTCCTCGGACAAGTATAAGGTCAACAATTTCTACATTGAAGGGCCGAAATTCTCACAAAAGGAATACCCTGCCAAATCTTTGAAGACTAATACGCTGCCAAAGCTCTCTTCGAAGAACGTACAACCAAAGCCGAAGCATTCCCTTGAAGAATGAACAAGCATTTTTGCTGATTCCTTCAAGACTTTGTTGCAAGCTTAAAACTTGTAACGATGTTCGATTCAAGATCAAGTCGCCATGACCCTTGAATCAACGAAATCTTATATCAACACTACCGTTTCCACAGCTTTGAGGTAAAGACTATCGACGCATTGTTTCAAGCTCAAAACTTGAAGCAATTGTCCAATTGTTCGTTCGAGATCAAGTCATCGCGGCCCTTGGATCAATAACCTATGCATCTACATCAAATTTAAAGACTGAATCAAAGAAAAATCATAAACAAAGATTGTAACCCTACAAATTCATCAATACAAATCTACTTTGTACACGTTTTCTTGTTTCATTCATCAATACAAATCTATTTTCGTGTTTATAGTCAAAGCCTTTCTCTAAAATTTCTTTGAAGATACATGTAAGTGCTTACCCCTTGCTAGTGAATCACACAATGGTGCCCAAAGGGAGGCTAAAATCCCTTTATGAGAATTCTCGGCCCTGAAAAGTTGATTGTCGTGGTGAAGCCACCAGTTGATTCTTTTTTTTTTTAGGAAAACAATAAAAATCATTGTTTGACCAAAATAACATAGGCAATCGCAAGAGTTGTAGTGTGGTAGAAGAGTAAAGGGTGATTAATATGGTCAACTCAAAATAGCTAAAACTAGATTTGGCAATTTATTACACAACACAAGAATAAATGGGTTTTGGGTGAACAAGATAACTAATCAGGTCATTATCGGATCACATGATAAAAATCCGATAATAATAGGTCCTTAACAAGTTTATATGAAGGTGACACGCGGGTAACCCTTTTCAATATGTTAAGAAAAAAGTTATTTTGATAATTTTAATTTTTTAAACTACTAAAAAAAACTTACTATAAAATACCGTAGTCATATTATATATTGTATATTAAAATGTATTATTATATTATTATATTAAAAAATTAAAAAATATATCAAAAAATAAAAATATCAAGTAATTTAACAATTCTAGACACATTAAAAAATTATAATAACTAATTCACAAGTATGAAAAAATGTGAAAAAAAAAATGCAAAAACTTGTGATCGCATACTCTTCTCTTTGAGTAGGGGTATGTCGTCGTTTGAATTTTTGAAACCATACAAACCCTTATAAACAAGATTTTTAAAGGAGTTCAAAATAAATAAAATGCATAATTCATTAATGTACAAGTTTGAAAAAATGTGAAAACAAATATACACGTGCAAGGTTCCTCAACCTTGAAACACGACTCCATTCATTTTGCATATCCTTGAACATTTTGTAACTTATTGTAATGTACTGGTGTTTTATCATTAGGCTCTTATTTTAGAGTATATAATATTTGAAAGACATATATTTTTCTATGTTTTGAAATAATATTTATGTGACAATGTAGTATTCATATACTAATTTAGTATTATGCTTTTCTAATTTTCTTTTGGTCAAATTATATTTTTCATTTTCATTATTTATTAGTTTAAAATATATTTTCTTTAACAGGAAGAAATCATATCATATTACTTGATAATATTAACGGGTCTATTTCGGATAGGGTCATATTATTCTTTTACTTTGACAGATGTTATACAACGTGATCCATTAAAATATTAGGTATGTCACGAAAATATAACACGAATGGGTTAAGCTCAAATCCTCCTGGCTCGGCCGCTCCGGCTGTTGGGTGCGAATATTCCGTCAATAACTTATTTGTGCTGATAATTGGGGATATTACGAATTCCACGGACACGACTGTTTTTGTTCAACTTTGACAAAGTCCACATTCTACACCACTATAAATAAAGCCAACCTTCGATGTGAGACTGGGATGTGTTAAATATTGTGCTCAAATCGCTGAGATGGGGATCTACCTCGGCGACGCCGTTGATCGTGGAATCAAGAACATGGGCGCGAATCGAGGTCCGATAATGGAATTACAAGAGACGAGGGAGATGTGGGTGAGCTTGGGCATGCTGCGCTAGTCTCGTTAACTCCCTCGTATGCAAACAGCGGCGCGGGGAGGCTGGGGTGGTGTGGCGGGGACAACGACGGGCCGAATACGACCGACAAAAACAAGCTGGTGTGTAGTTTCTCTCAAAACAGAAAGAGAATTTGAAAGCTTTTAGGGGCTTCAATTTCTGTGCCTAACGTAGTTTCTAACACTGTTGAGTCAATTGCAGTTTTCTCTAAGCATTCGAAGGACTTTCTTAAGTCCGATTCTGATAAAATTTTGAATAGTTTGAAGCAATTATCGGAAATCGCTAGGTGCGGTAAGCTTTCGGAGTTTGTTGTTACAGTCACACAAGCTGTAACTTTTGGGGTATTGCTGGGTTATCAATCGAAAACAGCGAGTGATGGGGATGGTGGAGTTTCTACTGCTTCAAGCTTTACATACCAGGTTATGGATAAGCTTTTTTACCAGGCCCTGGTCGGGTTTTGCTTCTGTTCTTGTTGAAAACTTTGCTAGGATTTGGTATTAGCTTTCAATTCAGATGGAAGGTGTGGCAGAGGGTCTAATTCTAACAATTCTCTCGAGTATGGACGATTATGTGTCAGAAATGACTAATTTTCCGAGATGGGTTAATGTAATTTCAGGCGATAAGTTTAGAAGCAGGTGTACGCGAAGCCGGGGGGTGGCAAGGACATCGGCGGGACCAATGCGACCAACAGAAGCAAGCTGGTATTTTTTTTACAGAGGAAGCAGTTTGAGTTGGAGGATTTGTTGTGGGCGTCGGCCGAGATGTTGGGGAAAAGGAGCCTGGAATATGAAGTCTTCTTTTCGTTTTTCTTTATTTTTTTAATATTTAATTATTTGCCACATCATCACTTAACTGTCAAATTGACGATTTGACTAACAGATGTATGAAATTGCAATGGAATGATAAATAATGTATGAAATTGAATATCTTTTATTGGATGTGATTGTGATTTCTTAATTGATTGAGTTGGTCTTCAATTAGAAAAACATAAAGAAAAGATTTAGCAATTAATCATATCTTTAGTACCTTTGACCTTTCTTCTCACCATGAATAGGATAGCTTGATAAGGTTCTAGTCATCTACTTAGGTCTGCAAGAGTGTTGAACCACATGTGGATTAAATGTGGGCCTCACCAATTTAATAAGGTCATTCTAGTCACTTATGGGTAAAAGTCCCCGTGTCAGCAACATGATTGTATTATTTTTCGCTACACAAATGGCCCCACACTTGCTGTGCTGCACGTAGGAGGTGCGGGATGTGTAGAAGCCAAGTTAAGTAAGCCTGCCAAAGTTGAGTTATTCGACTGCATTGGATTATGAGCTTTGACTTGTAGTACAAGCCTTATGAGAGAAGAAGTCCAACTGCCTATGGAATTTATTTAATTTTACCTTAAGTGGAGGATTAAATAAACCTAGAGAACAATTTTCTTCCAAACAAGAAGGAGAGAAAACTAGAGGAAATTGTACCCTCTCCCCTAGTTTTCTTCTTTGCTTGCCCCGTGGAAGGTCGATCATTGTCGTTGTTGCGCCTCCAAGGTAAGAAGAAAAACAAAAAAATTCTTTTTTCCTCTTTCTTCACGCCGCTACCATGGGGCAGTTGGGCTAAAGCCGAGGTGAATTGCTGGCGCAGTTGGAGAGTGTGGCAGGACGGTGCAAGGCCTTACTGGGCAGAGAGATGAGACATTAGGCTTGCCCTGCTAGGTTACTCGCTAGAGATAGCATGTTGGCCCGGCCTAACATGCTAGGCTTGGATGGTGCGTTAGGCTTAGCTTAGCATGTGGTGATAGATAAGGCATAGCGCAAGGAAGTCGGGTTGCTTTGGTTGTGGGCCTGACACAGGAGCCCTAGCCTCGGCATGCTTGGAGGAGATGTTAGTACCAGCATGGGTTGGGCCTGCTACTAGGTTATACTACAACTACTTTTGTTGCTGCCTAATTGCTTATGGCTAGGACCCCAGGACTGATTGGCAAGACTACGATTCACAAGCAAAAGTCTACGTGGCTAGGAGACGTGAAGTAGAGGTCAGCGCAACTTGGGCCACGAGAGAAACGCAGGGCCTTGCTAGTATATTGACATGATTGCTGGACTTTTGTGGAGAACAATTCTAGGACTTCTACTATTGCTCGTAGGAGTTCTCCAACTTTTGGAAAGCTTATTATTGAGCTGTTTCCAGCATGTGGGTCTGGTGATAGAGTGAAGTGTTCATTTGTGGCTAAGTCTGGATTAGCTTCTAAAAAGCTCACCACTATGAGAAATGGGGACAAAATTTGTCACTTAAGAAAGTGGATTCGACTGCCAAAGAGTCGTCAAAGTTTGCTCATTCTGCTGCTGCTATATGATGTATGCCAAGAGGGAAGAAACTGCTTGAGTTTGATTTCTTAGTTGCTGTAGATGGAGCACTCGAGGATGAGGATGCTGAAGCCGAAGCTGCTGAAGATGAAGTGGTGGATGCATAAAACTACTAAAGGTGAGATGGTCGTTAGAGGTAAGAGGGCTATTGGAGAGCCCGAGTTGTAACAACCCATCCCTATTTTACAATTTTATAAATTTTAAAAAAGTGAATTGATGAAAATGCCCTTAGAGGTGAGGTCGTTGACTTTCGTTGACTGTCGTTTCATGACGTGTACGAACTACTGTTTTACCATATTCTCGAAGTACTCAACAATAAAAAGTGTAGGCGCAAGAGGGAACGAAATCAAATTTATGAGGGAGGTTTTACAAAACTACAAATCTAAAAAATACTTTTGTAAACATTACTATTTTATATTTTATATATTTATTATTGTATTAATTTATTAATATTTTCAGCCCATGGGGCCCACTCGCCATAAACACACCACTAACTCTCTGTCATGTGTTCACTCTCCCTCACTTCATCTCTCTCCCTCTCCCTTGGCGCTTTTTTCTCTATCTCCTCCCACATCTCTCTCTCACACCTCCCTTTGTAATCACCAGCGCCGAGGCCAACTTCCACCAAATCCCTGTCGTCTTCAATGAGATCCACTAAACCAACACTTCGACTCTCTCTCTCTCCCCCACATTTGTATCTCTCGCACATTCTATCTCTGTGCTAATGGCTAGGATGCTGAGCTCCATTTGAATCCGAGAGGATTCCAGTGAGGACATGATGATTTCGACTAAGGTAAACCTGAAAATTAATGTCAATCATCTTGGATCACTGATTTGTTTTGCGATTCTAGACTTATTTGAGAGAAATGTCAAAGTTTTGGTGCAGAACAATTCAGAGGAAACTCTCCCCAGTTTTTCTGGCGAGAATAGACAACTTTTGAGCTGTTTTTCGACCAACTTTGGCCATAACTCGGCCTCTTTTTGGTATGAATCTGTTCTCCTCACTCCAAGCTTCATTTTCATAGGTAGAACATTAATTTTGGTTAAGAATTGAGCTTAAACAGAGCCGGAGAAGTTTCCCGGCCAAAATTCTAGTGTTCTCCTTCACTAGGTCTGGTGGATGCAACTCGCAAGCCCAATGAGTCGACCCAACCCGATTTAATAACAAAAAAAAGAAAAGAAAGAGCCTAAGCCTAAACTTGGCCCAAACCCAGCCCAAACAATTGGTCCAATGTTTTAGCTCGGCCCAGTTCCTATATATGCCCAAAATATTGTAGGAATATGAAGGATTATTTTGGAAGATGACATGTTCATTTAAGCAACATCATTAGCATGCAATTAACAAATTAAAGGCGGAATCATGCTAGCATGCACTTAAAAACAAAACATTACCCATGAATGTTCAAAGCCTAGTAAAATGGTGAACCAATAATCAACTCAAAACAAAGTGAGTTGAAATATATACCTTTGTGGATTCCTCTTTGTATTTAAACAAAGGCTAATCACCCAAAGAGAGGGCCTTCATTCCTTGCATCTTAGATCTATGGATTTGGATGGATAAAAGAACAAAAAAAAAGGTTTCTCCAAAGTTCCCAAAATTGAGAACCTCTAATGATTCATCACCAAGGCATAATGAAGAAGAAATGAGTGACCTTGGAGGAGTTTGATTGCTAGATGATCCCTCCAAGGTGGCCGAAATTTTAGAGAGAAAGGAGAGCTTGTGTTCTCATCCTTTCCCCAAAAACAACCCTTAATGAATTTTAGGCTATAAAGTCCTTTATATATTCCTTTCAAATAAGTGACCTAATGGACCAAAAGCCCTATTCTTCTAACATGGCCGGCCTATAGGGTTTATTGGGCTTTCAAGCCCTTTGTTTATTCAAGTTGTCATACAACTTGAGTTAATGGGCTTGACATTCAAATCCCATTGGGCCTTGCGGCCCAAAACTAACCCAAGGTCTTTAACAAACTTATTCGTTTGATTAATTAACATATTAATTAATCCTAGCCTTAGATAAATAATTAAACCATTTAATTATTCTTACTAATCTCCGTTGTTTCTTAAAACTCTACCTTACTCGGTGAACGATCCATTAGGTTCCTTTTAGCGAGGCAGTGGGCGATTAAAACTCTTTCTAATCGATTGTGAATTGGAACTTACTTTCAATTCTCCCGTTAGTGATAATACACTTTGAGGGCTTCCACAAACCATGATTGACGCCTAGCAGCATGTCATGGTTACCCAAGCTAATCAGAAGAGGTGGAGAACCTATTCAGTTTTAGGATTACAAATGCAATACGGTCTTTCTCTAATACAATACTCTTGACCACATTGTTTGGTTTGATAGTTTATTCATGTCTACTATCCAATGTGAGTCTTGTGCTTATATGATTACCTTGAATGTGATTTGGAACACATTCCTAAATCTCATTCATACTTTGGCCAAAGATTCTTAATCATATCATAGAGTATTCTCCCTCAAACAGTTTGAAGGTTAGAGATCCCTTGTTGCGCATTCACTTGCCTCCATGGCTAAGTGGCTTAACCCCAACGATGCCGTGGACACCCTCCTGATGGAGTGACTTTGACATAATCAAAGATTAAGGACCTAACCACAAGACAACTGTGATGCCTCAGGTCAAAAGACCAATTTGCATTATCCCAACCATGAGTTCTCATGTGACATGAATATGAGAACTCTTCGTTGATCGTGTTCAGTGAACTCATTCTCTATTGAGCACCTACGTACTTGTCTTGATGTCACACACACCAATGACTCGAGACTAGTCACTCTCCCTGAGAGAAGACATAGCACGTACTGATCTTAACGGACTGTCAATGCCTAATTGGCAATCCTATGATCAGGAACGTTTAGGATGTGTCTACGAAAGAATGGTCTCATGAATCTAACTTCTTTAGATCGCATTCTTCCAATCACATATTCCTTGGACTTATCGTTTAAGCACATAACATTTATATGAGACGGCTCAAACAATAATGTTTTCCCTTTACATTTAAACTACATTAGTTTGAAATGTCCGTAAAGTATCATCATATGATTGGTTTTAGGGCACATTTCCAACAGAATATTCACTGAAATATTCTTTGGAATATTCCTTGTGTTGACTTTTTCGTAATTTTATCGAAAACCCTCATAGGCTAATTTCGACGTCTTAAGTTCATTTTTGACATCCATTTAGTGAAATTCTGAAGTTTAAACATAGTTGACCAGCTCGGTGTCTCGGTTGACTTTTTTTAGGGTTGACCGTTGACTTTTTACAAAATTCGTCCGGGACCCTTCGTAGCGTATTTCGACGCGCTGATTTTGAATCTGATGTCGATTTCAAATGTTTTAATTGAGTTTTACTAATGGGTCTTTATTATGCTTAGGTATGATTAACATTGGCGATCAATATTTACCAGTTCGAACAGCTACGACTTCGCAAGAGTTTGTGAGTGGGTCTTTTCTTTTATATAGTATATATATTATTTGAGGTTCCATACGTAGATTAATAATGAATTTTCTAAGTGATGCCATAATTAAATTGACGTTATAAGAATTGTTGCAATGCTTAAAATTGTGAGATTATTACGA